GTACCTAAATCAGGCATTAAAGATTTGCAGTAGAGCTTTCTTCTGGCTTAGGCCTTTGGTAGAAAAGTTGTGGTGGTTTTGTCCATGAGTAATCTCCTGCATAAATTTGCTCTCTGTGTTGGAAATAGAGCTTTGTGCAATTCTGTGTGCCTGAATGAAATAGCTGATGATGCATATTTCATATCAGATTTTGATATTGAGTAGATTGACTTTTTCCATACAGCAACCCGTTCTTATACTAGCATTGATCACTTTGAAAGATTGAGGCTTAAACATGCAATAAGCAAAATATCTATATAGGCCTCTCTATCTCTGACTTACTGCTGCAGGATTTTCTCCAGTGTTTCAAATACTCCTGGCTGCTGTTTCTGGATGTCTTTATCTTACTACATGGTTTTAAACAAGAAAAATTATGATGTTATGAACTATGTGTGTGTTTCCATCGTTAGGTGATTATTTCTCTCCAGAATTCTCTACACAGTTCATCATTTGGGTTTAGACTGCTTGCTTAGGGTAAGAATCTGGAAGCAATGCGAAGAGAGACTTTTTCCTGCATGGACTGCTTTGTTGTTTTAATCTTGTGCTTGTATACTCATCAATTGTTCTTGACCTTGAAGTAAATTGAAAGCAGGCAAGATGTGTGTGGTGGGATGTCAATATATTTTTGTTCTCTGACTTAGCATCTTTATCTGTCAAAATACTGCAACCAGTTGAGAGACTGATCTCTCACTTTATTTTTCTTTCCAGACACTTGTGTTTCATGCTCATGGTCTGAATTGATAGAAATTATGCTGTGACTTGGTGTGCTGCTCCTGACTTGCTCTTGAGGTTAATTCAGACTCCTTCCATCTGTTTGTTTCATGTGTGCCTTTGTGTTTGCTCCAGATCTTTGGAGATGTGTTTAAAGAGTAGGTGCTGCTTGTGTGGCAGGACTGCCTGGTCTGACTGAATTCTTCTGTTCTTGTTGCCTTTTTCTCATCTTAGTTTTTCTGGAAGCAGTATTAAAGGAATTCCATTCTCTTGGCTTACACTTGTTGCCTCCTGTTCTGTTTGAAATGCTTGAGAAGGAACTTCTTTATTTATTCATCTGCTAGAGAGGTATTTCAATGAGGGAGGGATGTTGAGCAAGCAGAACAGTCTAGGTCCTTTGAGAAGCTCTCTGACAGGAATGATTCAAGCTTGGAATGAACAAATGCATAGCAACAGTGTTTATTTTATTTTGATATTCAAGAGGGTGAAGAGCTGCATGAGTGTTTGCAGTACATTTGCTGTGTGTTGACAGTATCTAGGAGCAGATCAAAAACTACTGAGACTGCATTTTCTAGCCCAGGATCAGTGAACCATCATCACTTGGAGGCAGTGCTGTGGAGGCATGCAGGACTACTAGGGATCCACATGGAGTGGATTTGTAGAAGAAATATTAAGACAGTGAACTGTATAAGGTCTGTGCCAGTCTAATTACTCATAACTCTGCTGTTACACAGTGAGGTCAGGGTTAGACTGAAGGTGTCAGATGAATCTCAAGCCCTACTAAAACTGGCTGTGCTCTTAAACAAGAGAAAAAGTATGCATTAGGATGATCAGTCTTTCCACAGAGTCCTTCCTTCATGGTTGTCCTTAACTAGATTTTTCTGCCTGTTGGCTTTTTGTTGGGTTAATCTTTAAAGCTTCATAATCTGATGCTTTATCTTACATTGACAGTGCAGCTGAGTGAACTTCATTATTCCACCTCCTCTCTGCCCAGTTGTAACTGAGTGATTAACATTTTAAGCCAACAATCTCTGCTTTTAATCTAAACTGTTGCTGTGTTTGTACGTCACAGGTTGCCCTCCAGTTGACTCGGGAATGCAATGAGGAAGAACAATCTTTTAGGTGCACTGAATCTAAAATTAACCTTCCACCTGGGCAGCTGGATTTGTAAAGCTCTGTACACTGAGTTCAGGAAAGAAAACCTTAGACCAGAAAATAAAAGTTGTCCTGCAAGACAAGAGCAACAGCTCTGGTTGAGCACTTGTAGAGTCAGGCTTTGGGTCCTATGGCTGTGCAGAGCTGCTGTGTGACATTACCATCCTGCACCTCGGTGAAATCAAGTTTAGTGTGTCAGTCCATGGTCTGTTGAGACTAAAAGGCTAAGATGGTTTTTAGGTTGTTTGACACACAAACAGTTCAAATATGGCTCTCCTAGAGTAGATATATAGTGGGGCTGGTGGTGGGGATTTTGGTGCAAGCAATACTAGAACATCTGTATTTCCAGCTGTGGAAAGAAACAAACAATCTATGGGTGGTGTGGGAGCATGAGTCAGAGTGGGATGGGGTATGGCACTTCACTGTGGTCTGGTGAAACTATGTCCTTGCACCACTACTTCGTGTAAGAGGCTTGATATGGACTGAAGGTAGATCAAAAATAGCTGCTGGCAAGGCTATAACCTGAAACCTGGGCTGTAAGGATGTTGTGACCTTTCTCAGGTGTGCACCAAGAATATGCCCTAATGCCTTAAATAAGTATTACTCCACCTGGGTAACATCTCTTGATCTGAAACTTGCACTCCAGGTTTGGTATCTGGGTAAGTTATGCAGAAGATCTAAGTCAAGAACTACCTTATGAAAGACCTGAAGACTCTGTTTATGTTGGCTTAAAATTTTGTTGTCATTTTCCAGGCAGGCATGGGGAAGAGATTGTCACAGCTGTGTGTGACACTGGCTTGCTGCAGAGCACATTTGCAGGGTGCAAGCAGAAACCTGGGGAAGGTTCTGTTGGATCTGCAAACCAAAATTCTCTTTTGGTGTTGATCCATGGAGATTTCTGGGATATTGTCTTAGATGGCTCTAAACCAAGCTGAGCATGAAGGAAAGGTACATTTCAGACCTGCTTTGGTCTGTGTAACCTTATTTCCACAGGAATATAGGGCAGCAACCCAGGGCAAGAAAAGTAGCTGTGTGCCTGTTGAGGGCCTGTAGTAGAGCAAGTGAGAGAGCTTGTAAGATGGTTCCTTAGTGTTGTGCATTGGGAGATTGTTCTTCAGTGCAAGTTTGACTGCCAGTGTTTCTCACACTGATACAGCCAAAACCAACGCCCTCAAGATAATCTAAATTCCTCCTTCCAGTTAGCTTTGTGTTGCAAGTGATGATTTCTATTGACTGGCACATAATACAATTCTAATGAAATATCATGGCAAGGTATCAAAGTCTTTACTGATGTTAGCAAGGTGGCTTTGTTTAAATCTGATCTTAGGAGCAGGTTGCCAGCAAGTGTGAGAAAATGGAGAAGAGTACTAGATGAAGAATTAATGAGGGATGTGATCTAAATTTTGAAGTCCTAATGGGTAAAGATATAAGTAAAGAAATAGAAAGGGAAATAATGATTTGGGGTGGTAGTTGTAGCAGAGCTGAGATGGACATGAACCGGAAAGGTCAAAAAAATAAATCTTAGATTGACTATTTAAATCAGACTATAAAGTGGCATCTCAAGTGGAGGCCTGCTATTTGGATATCCAGGAAGAGGAAAGTGGGGATGGATACTAAACAAGCAGTCTGAGGTGGGCTGAGTGGCAGAATAGCTCAATTCAGTCCTTCACTTTTGTGTTCCTGTAAAACAAACAAACAAGCCTCTTTCATTCTTGTTCTCAATGCTGTGGCTGACTCCAGATGTTCCTGGAATGATGGTGATTGCTTTAGTTCTGACCTTTAGAAGAGAAGGGCTGCCTGTGTGCATGTTAGGATAAGGTGTGAGTATAATGTACATACACGTGTGTAAATACAAGTGCAGAATATCCTACAGCATATGTCTCTTAGCTGATAGATCTTCAAACTTAGCCCTTTATGACTTGAAATGCTTCTTATAACAGAAGCAAGCTAATGCCAGAACGACTGATAATGACTTTTCAGAGTGAAAGAGGCTAAAACTTTCCAGATATTTTCTCATCTATAACTTTCGAAGTCCTAGAGTTAGGAGGTTAAATCACATTTTGTGGATGTTTTGTTGTCATGGTTTTCAAGGTGTAAAACTCAATCTGCTTTTTTTTTTTTTTTTTATTTGTCATGAAACTAGAAAGGAATTCTGGCCTGTGTTTGGTGGTGGTGGCTGTTTGTGGGTGTTTCTCAAACCACCCACAGCCACTGTAGTGTGCCATCTCTTTAATTTTGTATCCATAAGTGGAACCATTGAGGTGTTCTCATAAGTACATTCCACTTATCCCCAATTTTTTTAAAGTCTTTGAAAAAGATGTATAGCAGGGTTTAAATGGCTTGTAACCCTTTGAAGAAAATTATAATTCAGGAGAGGCACTATTTTATGAAGTGATGAGAACCTCCCAGCTTTCTGCACAGAGGCTGAAAGCTGAACGAGGCCAGTCTGCGACTTTGGCCGCCCATGGATTAATCAGCAGGGTGGTAAGAAAATTCCATGTGCTTGGCTTTCCCAGGACACTTGTGCTGTTTCACAGCTGAAAAATCTGGTCTGGGCAGGAAAAGGGGGCCTCAACCGTTTGAGTTGTTTATTGTGTGAGCTGAAGTGCAGGAGGCAGAGCTATGCCAGTTTTCGCATACGGAGCACAAGTTGCTGGGTTCAGGCTGCTGTGGCTGGGAGCTGCCAGGCTCCTGGCCATGACAGATCATCAGAGCACAGTGTGCTGACCTTGGAACATCCTGGTTGTCTATGGATGTAGAGGGTATCTGTGCAAGCTTGCAGGGGAGCCTTGGAAGCAAAGTGTGGGGTGGTAGGAGTGTGTTGGAGGTCACTGGAGGGACAGCATTGGAAAAACTGTGTTCACTGTGTCCTTCGGCATGTTTGGACAGCAGTTTTCACCATTATCTAGGGGACTTAGTCCCAGCTTTGTATTGCTAAACACTAACCAAAGGAAGTTCAGCACTTACCTCTGTTTGGCTTTTCTGCAGTCATTAATCAGTGGAGCCCATACGTGAATGCTCTATGTGAATACGTGTAGCTTAATCTCTCTCTCCTTATCTCTTCCTCTCTCAGCACCAGAAATTGCCCTTGCAAAATGAGCCAACTTCCTCCGAAGAGTGCTTTGGCATCCCTGGTGTCAGAGGGCACGAATTCCAGGGTAGAGGCTTTGGACAACTTGTCAATGGACAGTTTTTGGCTGGAAGTAGAGAACATTAAACAGAGCGCTGAAGCCGAGCAAGAGGAATGCAGCCTTGCAGATGTCAAAACACAAGAGGGTAGGTTGCCAAAAACACTGGGAGTGAGGGGAGGAATGTGAACATCTGAAACAGAAAATTTGCTTATGCACCTGAATGATCTAGAAGCGTGTTGGAATATGGTTAGAATATTATCAGTCAATCAGAGATAGACATGTTATTTTAACTGGGTGGTGGATAATGCCCTGCAGAAGGGGAGTGCTGGCCTGGCCTGGTTTCGGCTTCTGAAGCAAAGCTGACTTTAAAGGTCAGTCAGGAATAGTTCAAGGCTCCAGATTGTTTCAAACAGCCCCCACTAAGGGTGGGGGATCTCTCTAGCCCAGTGCAGGTGGCTGTGTGGTAAACACCCTGTGAGAGCTGAGGGTGTTTTGGAAGGCTTGTTTGTGCACATGGTTCTGAGATTCATCAGAGTGGCTTTTATGGGAGCTGCTTCTGTGGCAGGCAAACTGTTCCCTCTCTAATTCACTGCTTAAGAAACCACAATAAACATCTAGAAAGCCTTGAATCCATCCACACAAGGTTTTCCCTGCATAACACATATTTTCCCCCTCTTTCTTTCTTTGGATGACTATTTCATGTGCATGAGATGTTTCTAATGGACTTTCTGTAGCTCTGATGTTATCCAGTATTTTGGAATACCTGGAACATGGGCTGATAGCCTTTTATAGAATCATAGAATGGCTTGAGTAGGAAGGGACCTTCAAGATCATCTTGTTCCAACCTCCTGCCATGGGCAGGGTCACATTCCATTAGCCCAGGTTGCTCCAAACCCTGTCCAACCTGGCCTGGAACACTTTCAGGGACGGAGCAGCCACAGCTTCTCTGGACAACCTGTGCCAGCACCTTACCAACCTCATAGGGAAGAGTTTCTTCCTAATATCTAACCTGAATTTCCTCTCTTTCAGCTTGAACTCATTACTCCTTGTTCCATCACTACAGTTCTTGATGAGCAGTTCCTTTTGACATGGGAGGTTGAACACCCTGGGGTGCTGGAGGGATAAAAAGTGGTGATGAATGCCCAGTGATCCTGCAGATTGGTATCACACCTCTCCTGGGTCCATCTTGAAGAATGTGATGTAGTTGGCTGAACATTCCCTTGAATGGTTGGGTTTGCAGCCTGCACAGCCTAGAGCTTCTGTGCTGCCTGATATGGAGAAGAATCCATGTCATGGGAAAATGTTTGTGTGAAAGGTCCAGTGTGTTTGGGAAGGGTCAATAGCCTTTCTGGGTACAGAGAGGGGCTGTGGAGAGCAAGGTGGAAAGACCATCATCTGAGGCTGCCATGGCAAGACACTGTAACATCAAGGCCTGCTGTTAGTGTCCCAACATAAAGGACACAAGTTTGATTTTTAGAACTGGAAGAGATGCAAAGTGACTCAGAAAATGAGTGCACCAGGAAGGAGACTGGAAAAGAGGCTATGCCATGAGATGAAAGACTGTCTGGGATATCCAAAAGACTGATACGCTGGAGGCAATTTGATTATTGTGTGTAAGCAGGGACACAAGGAAAAGTGTCTTTTAATGCTGTAAATTAATCTGTCAGGCAGGAGCTGACTGCTTAATTGGCCATTGAAACCAGACAGACTTGAAATAATGCTCTGAGTAGCGAAGCCTTCGCGGCAGGTGGGGAAGGAGGTGCAGCACACTTGGGCTTCTGGTGCCTTCTCCAAAGGAGCTTAGTCAAATAAGTGTTGTGCTGGGAGCGTTGGTGATGAGGGGAAACTTCAGATGGTGTGGATGCAGGTGGTGCCTGTTGGCTTTTACATCTCTGCAGCTTCTCCTTAGAGCGTGGAGGCTTTGGGGCTCCTCAGAGCCGAAGGCACCATCACTCTTTGCATAAAGCCCAGGAAGTTGTGCTGGGGCAGTGGCTAAAAGCTCTGTCTGGAGATGGTGTGGCTCAACCTGAGAGATAGCTGATCACAATCACAGCACAGGGACAGAAAGGAGGCTGTGTGGAGATAAGGAATTGCAAAAATGCTGACCCAGTTGGAGAGCTCTGGGCTCCTGTGCCAGCCCTGTGTGAGGAGTGATGTCGTGGGAAGCTGCTTGTGACCTGGTGCCAGTGGAAGAGCAATGAGTAACTGTGCATATCTGGGTCAGCTGAAAGGTGCTCATGGAACTTGTGGCCTCACTAAGTAGTTGATGGGAGCAGAGAGTAGCTTTTCCCTGAAATACAGACAGCAGTGTCCTGTCCTTGCTGACACTGCTCAGCTCCCTCCAAGGCCTGACAGCACAGCAGGCTGAGGACAAAAGCAACCTGTCACTAAAATTCCTGTTAGCATCCTTCCAGCATGGAACCATGGCTGAGAACAGTCTGCTGAATGATTCTACTCCACCTCCAGAAACTAGAAAGGAAGTTGTGCGTGCTGTTTAGTCTGAAATTGTAGGATGCTGTAGGTGTCTTTTAAATATTTGGAAACTGAATATTTTATTACAAATGCTGGGTTTGACTAGCTTATGTTTCAAAGAAGTCTTTGGAACTGGTGTTCTTTAGTTTTGCAAATTCATTCCTAATTGTGACCCCCTGAAATGCCACTTCACTATAACTCACAAGGCAAATCTTAGCAGGTCTCCAGACTTAAACCTGCAGCTCAGCTTCTGTGAGCCTCTTGATTCTGACCTGTTTCTCTCTGGCTTTCCCCTTTTCCCCATAAATAACCTATTTTACTGGTTTCCTTTTCTGTTTCTGGCAAACATAACTGGGCCAAAATATTAAACAGAGCAATTACAATCTGGTGCTTTGGCATCAGCTGGAGCAGTAGGCTCACACGGATGTCCGATTTAGGGGCTGCTGTTTAGTGTTGTGTATTAGATTAGTTTCCTGTTATGACTGGAATTGGCTATTTTCAAAATTTGCAAGCAATACACTTCACTTCCTTTAGTTCCCAAAGGCAAAATAAGCCAGAGCCTTTTTGTGTGCTGTGCTGCTGTGAAACCATGGATGTAGGACAAACAGCTATACAGTGAGGAGTCATGAGTGGCTGTGCCCAGGGGATGCTCTTACCTGTTAATCTCTGTAAACCAGGCATGGGAAAAGACCAAAACTTCAGACCATGTAGGAAAACCTGACAGTTTTGAAGGAAACACTTGACATCAAGTCCAGCTCTAATTATTGTGCTGTGATGATGAAAACAGTTCTGTTTCCTTACAGTCCCTAAAACCACAGAGTGTTCTCTGAAAGCTGAGAAGAGCTTTAATTGAGCCACAATGTTTTTTGGAAGCTGCATGAACACAGAGGTTTCCCCAGAAAAATTAATTATCATTTAATCTCTCAAGAAGAGCTGTGTGGCTGCTTTTTATTGAGGCAGCAAGAATAAAACCTGGCCTGAGCAGCTGTGATAAATGAGGATATGGCAGTGTCCATAGGACAGGGAGAGAGGGAATGGACTGTTTTGTGTCAGTTCAGATGTGATGTTTCCTTTTCCTGGTATAACCTTTGGTAGAGCTGTACTGGAGCTGCCTGCAGTGAATCCATGTGGTGCATAGAATTGAAAAGATAAAAGCTTTGTGGTGTTTGCTGTGCTAAAGTTGAAGCCACCTCCTAAAATTGCTTCTTTTATCCTTGGATTTCAGGTAGCTGCCTAGCTCAGGGCACTTCCTCACATGCACTTCCTTATGAGTGCAGCCCATAAGGAAAAATTGTCTTCTGTGTTTGAAGTGCAACTTATATATGTTGAAGAATGAGGTAGAATTGAGCTTGTTTGTGTAATGCTTCTGTACTATCTCCAGGCTTCTCCCACTTCCTTCTGGAACTGGAATGGTCTTTAATTTTAGTGATATTTTGAATAGGCCCAGACATAAAGGGAATGACAGAGTAAGAATAACGTTTTTCCTTTTGTTGACTGTGTGTGTAGATACCAATCCACTTAAAAAGGTAAAGCATAGGGATGCAAACAAATAGTTCTGCAAGTATATGAAATAAAATGCATTTAAATCTACCAGATCAGTGTCTGGATATTTGAACCAAATAAATTGATATGTAGGTGTACATATAGGTAGAAATTAAAAGAAACAGCCGAGTGATTTGAAAAACTACAAAAGCCAAATGTGCAGTGTTGTGTGTTGTGGCTTCTCACAAACTTTTGTCCACTCTCAAAGCTGTTGAATCACAGAATCATTAAGGTTGGAAAAGACCTCGGAGATGGAGTCCTACCTGTGAGGGAAGGCTCAGAAGTGCTCCAGGGAGGCATTGCCATTCCTTCCCAGTTTGCTGTGCACTGTTGCCAGCTGCCAGAGCTCCCTTTTGCATGGGCAGTCCATGGGAAGGCAGACAGACAAGTCCATCTGACTTTCCTCCCATGTTCTGTTGCAATCCTTGTGCTAAATACCCTGCAGAGTCACACTTTTGCCTCTCTTCTGCCCAGCTTCTGTGGGAACCTCTGTTCCTGGCAATATCTGTGCTCCATAGCTTTTTTTCTCGTTTTTTTCTCACCTGGGGTGAGCAGAAAGGAGTATGGAGGCAGCCACAGCTGCCCAAAGTGCTGTGTCTCCTCCAGTGTCACCCTGATACCTAGCTGGCTACCTGAGAACCAGGCTGAGATTTTTGAGAACAGCTCTGGCCTCCTCTCAAAGATGTTAACAGCCTTCCAGTGATGTGCCATTGCCACCCCAGAAAGGCCATGGCTCAGACTTCTGGTTTTCTGCCTCTGAAGCCTCAATAGCACCGAAATTGTTGTTACCTGTTCTCTACTCACTCTGCCTTCTCATCCTTTGCCTGGCAGAGGGAGAGGCTGAAGCTGAGTGGCTCCAGGACGCAGGTCTGTCCAACCTCCTGGGGGACTGTGCCTCAGACAGTGACAACATCGTGCTGCTCTCCACCCTGACCAAGACCCAGGCTGCTGCCGTGCAGCGCCGGCTGGACACCTACTCCCGCTCTCGCAGGAGGAAGAACAAGCATCCTGTGCGTGATGTCCGAGACATTTTTGGGGTGGTCGACTCAGAGGTATGTTAATTCAGTGGGACCTCCTGAAAGAACATGTTGCCTTGTGGTAGCTGATTTGGCTTTCTGAGTCTCGGGGCTACTGTTGTGTTCAAAGAGGTGACTTCATCTCTTGAGCTGAAGCGAGAGAAATTCTGTAGCCAGGTGACAGTGTTGAGAAGTTGTTACAAAGCCTATAGATCCATAAGCTTCCTGGAGACTGCTGGAATACTTCTATGCAGTACACACAGCTCAGCAGCCTCGTGGAGCACTGGCATCGTTTGGAGCCCTCTTGTGTTTTCTTTATTCCAGTGACACATTAAATCATTATTAACCAAAACAAGAGAACTTTCCGTGTTCAGTTCTGATAAACTGCCCTTGTACAGATGGAGATCTGGAGAAAGACTGACACTGCCTTTTTGGGAGGGTTCTGTTTTGTTGTGGTTTGTTTGGTTTTTTGCTAGAAAATGCATAACCGTTGGCTTTTCAGCTGTCTTCCTGCAGTTCTGCTCCTCTTTTGGTTGTGGCCAAAACAACTTCTTTCCTATTTTTCAGGAGTCAGCAGCAGAGAAAAAGGAGCCCAGCCCAGATCCATTGTGGCACAACCTACGGCCTTCAAATGCACAGAGAAGTAAGGAGGAAGTTTTTAAATGTAGAGTAGGACTGAATGGAGAGTAGAATCTGGAGTAGAGCTGGAAATAGGAAGGACATTATACCAATCTGGACTCTGAAACATTGGCCTTGTTTGTGTGGGCTTTGTTGGGATTTTTGTTTGTTTTCCAAATACATGGATACATGATTATCTACAGTTGTGGATTAATAAATTTTCCAGGCTCTAGTGTTCTTAGGAATTTCCACTCAAACTGATAACTGTAACTCTTTCAGAAGGCAACTGGAAGATGAAAATAAAATCAGTCTGGTAAAGATCATATGGTGAAATCCTGTAAATACATATACAATTCTGTAAAGAGAAGTTAGCCATAGGTATGTCCTATTTAAGGCTGTGGTCATGTCTTACCAGGGATCTGGTGATTGTAGCAGTAATGTTATGGCTTTAAGCTAACCTTACCTATTGATCAGTCTCCAGACTGTGTTCATATGGCAATGTAGGGTTTTGTAAAATAAACAGTACCGAATGTGTATCCAACTGGTTTTTAGCACACTTGTTTTCTAAGCCTCACCCTCCTGGCTTTCAGAAACTCAAACTAATTTCTCCTCTGTAGCAGAAACCCAGGATTACTCCTGCACAGTTCGAAATCCTGGAAAAGAGGAAGCATTCAACATGGATGTTGCCTACTCAGAGCAAGCAGCTGTCCTGCTCAAGAGATCGTTTCTGTCTGATTCTAGGAAGTTAAAGGATGGAAATGCCCTAACTGTAAGCACTGAAGGATTTTTTCCTGTTAGAACTTAGTCTGTTCTTGTTGAGAGAGGTACAAGACAGTTGATTCAATTGTGTTCAATCAGCTCTTGGGAACATCCCCTATGGATAGTGTTGTGATGGGGCTGTATTAGGTAGGGGGTTTGGGGGCATATTGTACTGTTATCCTTGCAGTGTTGTGCAAGCATAGGCATGGAGTGGAGGGTCAAAAGAAGTAAGACATATCTGAAACTATCTATTTTGACACACATCCATGTCATTTCCTCTGCAAAGGGGAGAATAACTGGACTTTCTTACTCATAATTCCAACAGTTTTCTTCTCTGCAAATAAACTGGATTGTTTCAAAGGTCAGGTAGATTAGAGTGGTTTTCAGGCTGTCTTTTACTTAGATAAATTGGGATCTCCAATATTATTAAAGAGCAATACTGGAAAGGGAAAGTATTTATTCAACTCGTGATTGACCAGGAGTAGTTTTGGGGCATATGTCTGGTCTTGACCACAGCACACAGGTGCCTGGTTGTGGTAAGGAATCATAAAAATCCAGCAGAAATTGTTCACTAGTGGGATTAGTAGTGATAACTTGAACTGAACATTTTGTGTCTGTGTGCTTTTCCTTAGAAATTTAAGATCCCTAAGGGCAGACTAGGAGTGACCAGGATTGGAGATCTGTCTGCTCAGGACATGAAGAAGATCCCCACACTGGCCCTCATTGAACTAACAGCTCTCTGTGATATCCTGGGTTTTGAGCTGAAGAGAAACAAAGCAGCAAAACTGAAAACAACAGGTTAGTTGCATTTTTATTGTGCCTTTTTTTTTTTCCACACTTACCTTCTCATAGGTTTGTGTTTCCAGTGTTAGAACAGAGAGGGTCTTTGATAAATAATCTTGTAACAAGTGTGTTTTCCTTGGTCAGAATTTTTCCTGAAAGTCACTGAGTGGAGCATGACATCAAGATCTACGCCACATTTATTTCTGACTATCAAATGGCCTTGTCCTGTTGTTTCCTTTCACTTTTTCTGCAATGTCCATGCTTACAAAAGTGCCATCTTAGTCTGCAGTGGGGGATATAACCTTACACCTGTATTAGAGGTAATAAAGACTTATAATCTGTTGTTTCTGTTGTAGAGAAAAGACTCTTCGGAGTTCCACTCAACACGCTGTTAGAAAATGACCAAAAGCTGCTCCCCAACACAAAGGTCCCTCTGCTGCTCCAGGCAGTAAGTTCTTTTCTGGTTTTATTCACACCTCTGATTCTCAAAGTTAGGAACCTGTGATAAGGAAGGGCTGACTCCTCATCCTCTGTGCCTAAGAGCTTTCTTTTCCCCATTTTAATAGCTGCTGTCGTGCTTGGAGAAGAGAGGACTTGAAACAGAGGGCATTCTACGAGTTTCTGGGTCACAGACCAGAATCAAGGTAGGAGCTCTTCAGCAGTGTTTGAAAGAGTCAGAGGTGAAGCAAATGTCAAAATAACCTCAACTATCTCATGTCCCTTTCTGGTACAATTAGAAAGATCCATTGCTGAAATCTGGGAGTGTGCGCTGTGAGGGTCTCTCCACTCTTTTGACTTGATGCATTGCCCTTTTAGTGCTCAGCTACAGAATTTCCCTTATATTTTCTTGCAGTAAATTCCATCTTTTTGACAGAGTCTGGAACAGAAGCTGGAAAAGGACTTCTACACTGGCCTGTTCCGCTGGGATGAAGTGCACCAGAACGACGTGTCTGGGCTGCTGAAGAGATTCATACGAGAGCTGCCAGCCCCTCTGCTGACAGCAGAGTACCTCCCTGCCTTTGCTGCTGTGCAAAGTGAGTCCCTGCTCTGCCTGCTTAGCAGCAGTTTGCTGCTTTTTGCAGTGCCAGAAGCCTGAAACCTCTGTCCTGTGGTTGCTCTCCCTCTCTAGATATTCCAGACTTGAAGCAAAGATTGCAAGCTCTGAACCTCCTGATCCTGATTCTACCAGAGCCCAACAGAAACACTCTGAAGGTAACTGCATGTTCTGGATTTAACTGGAAAAATATAAATCACATTTATGTTGGAAAAAACTTACAAGATCATTGAGTTCAGCTGTTCTTCTAGCAGTACCAAGTCCACTACTAAACCATATCCCTAAGTCCGACACCTATATATTTTTTTAAACAGGCACCACCTCTGCCTTTCTGTGCTTTATAAGAATTGTGGTAGTTGCTGCTGCTTTTTTTTTTTCCTCCTGGGTAGTTCAACTTCCAGGTACTAAACGCAAGGCTGACTTAGCACCCTGCACACTTTATTTAGAGTGCTAGAATACACAACCCAGCCTAAGGTGATCTGTCATAGCTCTGGTGAAGGCATGAGGTGAAAGAGGAAATCCAAAAGGGTTTATTTTTCCCCATTTGGGGCAAGGCTGACTTAGCACCCCGCACACTTTATTTAGAGTGCTGGAATACACAACCCAGTCAAAGGTGATCTGTCATAGCTTTGGTGGAGGCATGAGGTGAAAGAGGAAACCCAAAAGGGTTTATTTTTCCCCATTTGGAAATGGCTTTAAGGGGATACTGATGGAAATGGGGGGTTCATCTTTGATTTCTGTGACTTTCATGAGTGGACTTTGTAAATTACCATTGCCAAGGAATAAGAGTCCACTTACTTCCCACACCATCTTTCCTGATTTGTAAATACTGGATAAACTACCTCTCTTGCTCTGGATATTTGTTGCCATCCTAGTGTTAGAAATTTGTCACTGTACTTCCTGACTGGAGAAATAGGATATCAAGAAAAAGTGCTAATTAATTATCTCTCCAGCAATTGCCATGGTAGTTTTTTAAGCATTATTAGTAATGGATGGTTTAATTGTCTTTCCCTCTCTTCAGGCTCTACTTGAGTTTCTCAGCAAAGTGGTTGCCAGGGAGAACAACAACAAGATGAACCTCTGGAACGTTTCCACAGTCATGGCCCCAAACCTCTTCATGCACAAGGGGCTGCCAAACAAGATCCCTGAGGGGAAGGAGAAGCAGCTGGCAGAGGGGGCGGCTGACGTGGTGCGGATGATGATCCACTACCAGGATTTGCTCTGGACTGTAAGTTGCACACACCTTTGGCAGTATGGTGCAGCAGTGTCTTGTCTGGTTAGAGCTGGAAGAGGGGTGGGAATAGTCTTAGGAATTTCAGATGAGTTAAACATCTGTAGGCAAACCCTCTGACTGAATCCCAAGACTTGCTTTCAAGGTATACAGATATTTTGTGTATTTAGGGAGTTTCATGAAGTGATGTTTAGGTTCTTAAATGTCACTCTGATCTCTGTTTGAGTTGTTTTAATTCCTGTTTTCTCACTTCTTCCCTGCCCAGGTCTCCTCCTTTTTGGTAGCTCAAGTGAGAAAGCTGAATGAGAGCAACAGCAAAAGGTACCAGTTCTGCGACAAGAGAATTAAGAATCTGTTGAGGAAGATTCATGCTGATAAAGACAAGGTGGAAAAGAACCAGGCAGAGGTGAGTGAGGGCTTGGAAAAACTGAGCCTTTTCATAGCAGTGGCAAATGCTTTCATGAGAACTAGGAAAGATTCACTAGGAGTGATGCTGTTTAAAGAGCAAGAGGGAGAAAAACCTGCAGAACAATGAGAAACAATTTCCCAGATCCTTTTGACCAGGTTGTTGCAGAAACTGATCCCAGCATCAGAGCACTAAATATATTTCAGGTTACAAAACACTTGGTTAAAAGCAGGTGAGGAGGGAAGAGACCTAGAGCAGAAATGCTTTACCTCATATGAAGAGCAGAGCTCTAGGTGTCACATGCACTTAGACAGATATGTGTGCTGTGATAAAGGCAGACTTATTTTCATGAATTTAAAGCAAAACTTTAGGCTATTACAGCACTATCAAGTACATTTTGTATCTAATTTTACTTTTTTTTTCCATATTGCTTTTGATCTGTATGAGTGTGATCTATTTAAAAACAATGTTCTTGTTGCTTAAAAGGATAGAAGTTCCCAGCTCTGCTCTTACTTGTGTTGGTACAGACTGAGATTTTAAAGCAGATGTTACTACCAAATCTGTTTGAGTATCAAAGTTGGGAAAAGACCCTTGCAGTCATTCTGCCTGGAGTTTTTTTGTTTGCCACCTTAGTTGAATATGTGCAGGTCTGTAGGAGTTACAGCATGCAGGGCTGGATTTGAAGTACCACATGGCAGTGGTGGTACAACTGGGATGCTCCAAGGAGATCAACTAGATGGGATCTGCAGGCAGAAATAATGCACTGAAAGCTTAAATCTGCATACCTAAAGAAGGGTCTCTTCTCCACAAGCCTTTCTATATGAGTTGGGGTACTGAGATGACATCTGCCTAATGTGGGGCAGTTAGGATGTCATGTCACCAGCAAAGGTGCTGTCAGCTCAGCTTGGGCAGCTCCAGCTCAGGCAGTCAAACAGGTGATCCAATCCTTATGAAGTAGTCAGCACTGCTCTAATGGTCTCAGTCTCCTCTGCTCTTTTTGCAGAGGATTTTAGATTGCAAAATCAATTTTCTGCAGAAGTTCTGAGAAGTTACTGCATGGAGGAGCTGGTGAAAACAGTCTTGAGCAAACAGCAGTTGGACTCAGCTCTGTGACAGCTCAATGCTTCCCTTCTTTGGAAACTTCCTCTCTGAAGTTCAGTAGTCTGCAATCCAATTGTCTAAATTCCTTTCCCAGTGATTTAAATGACTTTCAGAGAAGTCCCTCAGACCTGTGCAAAACAGTTTGTCAAAATTTCTTCTGACAAATCCTATTTTCAGCCAAGCTTGTGTCGCTTCTGGTGCCAGTGCTGAGTTTGAACAGCAGAGAGCACCAGCGCTCGCTGATGGATCGCACAGAGCTCCTCTCCTGGCCACAACACCCAAACACCGACGGTTTATTCATAGTGTTCACCTTGATGCTTCTATAAGCTTTCAACCTGTAGTATGTGTGTGATAGGAAACAAGCCTAAATTCTCTGAACAAGTGGCTGGATAGGTTTAATTCTTCACACTCACCAATCTATTTTGAAACTTGATGTTTTAGCTGATAACAAGTCTTTCTTAAAGCATTTTCTTCTTTTTGCCTGCCTTGTTCAGCCATCCAAGATCGTGAAAGTCCACGCATCACTCCTCCTGAAGGACTCGCTGGAGGTGCACTTGAACAATGCAACCAGAGTTGCTGATGTCCTGAAGCTGTTTCAAAAGAACCTGTGCCAAAATGGCTGGAATATTGTTAACACTGTCAACCTCCTCAAGTGGTAAGTGGGATTTTTATCCGCATTGGAAAAAGAAAGAAAGAATAAAAGAAAGAAAAGTATTAGGTAGTCTAGCTATTGTTTTCTGTCTTGAGGTAGAGGTGATGTGGCAGCACAGTGAGTCATGAGGAGGTTGTTCTCTGCTCTTCTGGAAACAGTGTGTTGGATGGGGAAGGCAAATGTTAGTTCAGCAGAGTGATTCCATTCTGTGCTCAGGCTGGCAGGAGGTCAGTGCTCCCCTCTGGGCTGCTGGACAGCAAGTGAACTTCTGTAGCCTTGCTGAAGGGAAGGGAATGTGGAATCACATTGACCCTGCAAAACAAACCCTCTCTAGCTCTTCTGGAGAAAAATGTCACCTGTGCAAATTATTTGCCTGGAGTAGTAATTGCAACATGCATCTATTAATACAGGGCTTTCCTAAAATAGGCTCTGCAGTTCCCTCCCACACTCCAGTGATGAATTGCTAAACTAACCCCAAAAAAAGGACCAGGATTGTTCCTGCCCTCCTCTGTCACCACTCCTGCAGACTGTATTTAGTAGGTAACACAGTAGTGCATCTCCTGACTTGGTCCCAGGAGGTGTCTAGACAAGGAGGGTGGAAGGGAAGGTGGCTGAATATGGCTCAGCTGGGATCTCAGTAACAACTGCCAGTCTTCCTGCAGATGAGCAGGCCATCAGTTCTTGAGGAATGCTGACAGTGAACTTTGGCATTTATGCCTGTTGTCTTCTGATTGAAAAATTCGTGTTTGCATATAGTGTGCTGCTTGCAGTGAGGAATAGCTGCCTGGGTTTCTTTTTCCCCAGTTTTGGGTGTCCTCGACAGCTGCACTGTGCAGGAGGATCAGCAAGGTCTCTGTACCACAGCCTGTGGCTTCCTTGACCATTTCTGGCCTCAGACCCATAAGCAATTCTTTTGGAAGAAACATTACTAAACCACTTGACCTGTCTTTGCAGAGCTTTAACTTCAGTGTGTTTTTCTTTCTGCAGTAACAACTCAATGGACTGCACAAACTTGCTCCTGTATGAAGTGGGAGGCAATATTGGTAAGTATAGATGGTAGCTGAAAATAAGGACTCTGATATCCAGTTTTTATGCTTAACTTGTTCTAGAAGGGAGTTAAACTTCTCTGGCACTGTGGCAGTGCCTCGTTATGCTCATAGTGAAGAATTTCTTCCTGATATCTAATGCTCATCTACCCTCTTTAATTTTGAAGGCCTTGCCCCTTGTTTCTGGAAACACTTCTGAATGCTTGTGATATTGAAATTAATATGAACAAATACCAGTTTTTAGGGGAAAACCAACCAAACCAAAACAAAAAAAACCCCAATGAACCAAAAATACCAACCCAGCAACTGTTTTCTTTCCTGAATCTCTTGTTTTAATAGGGGAACATTGCCTGGACCCAGACACTTACCTTTTGGACTTGTACCACATCAACCCCCATGCTGAGTGGATAATTAAGCAAAACCCATCTTATCCTCGGATGTTCTAAGGAAAGCATGAGTGAAGCATTTGGTTGAAGTTTTTGGAAGGCATGGAAAAGCTTAGAGATGTTCCTGGTGTAGTCACAGACTGGGCAACACTTGTGTCTTTGAAGGAAAACAGCTTTATTTACTGCTTCCATGGCAGCTGACTGTGAGAGTATACCAGCCTACCTCCTAGCAGGGGTTTTGGAAACAAGCAGCAATAATCATTATGTAGCAGAGTTTGCAGGGAATATGACTGTTCTTAAAGCAAATATCCCCCAAAACAAACCCTGCAAGCAAAGCTACAGTGATTGTGCAGCAAAGATGGCATGGAAGAGAAGAAAGATCACCTTGAAGATGGTAGAAGACATCTGTTTCTTCTGGATTTGCTCTTTCCTCTGGTCACTTCTATGTTTTGGAGGAGAGACAGTCAAATGCTGCAGTGGTATTAATGACATCTCCTTGGTAAGGTCCATGGTTGCCTGATGCACATCACCAGAAGACGTTGTGATCCTGGGTTTCAGTAATAAGACAGTTTGAAGAATGAAAAAGGATGTTTCCAAAAAGTCCAGATGGGATGTGACACCAACATCCTGTGTTTAATGACTACAGTTTAATACATATATGCAACACAAGAAAATAACTTTCCTTGGAGGAGAGTATGGAATGGACAGCAGCTTTTCAAGTGTACAATGTGTGACAGGAGAGATGCCTGTCCCATACAGCTGTGCTGGTAATGCAAAACCAAATGTTCCATGAGGTGCCATTGTGGAGGGTAAAACATGCATTTATTTTGCTGGACAACCTATGTATCAACAGATGATTGAGAAAATGTTCTGAAGTTACTGTGAGGTTAGTAATCTGACCAGGCCACATGACTGAACATTGTGGAAGATTCTGTGTGGACATGTGTGCTCAAAACAAACCCCCCCTGAGATGTGCAGTGAGGCCTGTGCCTGTGCCTGGCTGCACAGTGAGTACTGAACTGAGCCTCTACTGCTCTGACTGCACATTTCCATCCCACACAGCACAGTGTGGTCACTGTGGGCTGGAGAGATGAGGGTAGAACAGAACATTTGCACCTGGCATCGCTGCATGACCATCATCATCATCCAACCTCAGCTCCAAGAGGACTGTACTTGTGGAGGAGAAGGGCAGAAGTATTGTTTTCCTTTGTGGTGATGCTGAAATACCTCACGTGAGGGAACCCAGCAGTGACAGGGGATGGAACACACACCATGTCCAGAAATCTGGATGTCTTTGTTTTTATATACTGTGTTTTAACACTGTTGGATATTTATTCCTGTGGCAGAAGCAGGGCTGCCCTGCACATGTGTACTCAAAGTATTTCATTTGCCAAATCCTAGCTGCACTTGTGACAGGCTTCAGTATTATTTCTTTTGTTAAATGAATTGGTTTCCATTGCAATCTGAATTTCCCCTCGTCTCCTTTTTCTTTCCCCAGGCTGATGTGTAGCCTTCCTTATTGATTATCTCAAACTTCTAACTTCTGTTGTATGACACTTTGCTATGTGGTTGGTCTGTGTTCTTAGATACTTTTGGTGGCTAAAAGCCTTGAGGAACAGGTGAACCATATTCTTTCCAACCTGTTGTGAATACTGTGTGAGTGGTGCTGATATCTTAAAATTATGCATATATTAGAGAGTCTGTCTTACATTTTTTGACTGAGATGATGCAGATGCATTGACTGGTTGGCTCATCTTCATAGCTGTCTTCTAAAGAACCTGTAATAGAAACTTGCAAAAAAAACCCACCTCCCACCCCTGACCCAGACCCCCAATGTCAAGAATTCTTGAGGTGCCTCTTTTATAGGGCTGAAACTGTGCCTAAAAGAGCCTGATTGTTGTCCTTGAGGATGGCTAATTTGTGTCACTCAAGATCAAGCTGCTTTAAAACAGGGCATTAAAAATCAATGGTACCTATTCACTCATCACTTCTGGAATTCTTTGTTGCAGTGATGGAGTTAGCAGAGAGCAAATGCCAGAGATGAGATATCCTGAGAGGAGATTCACCTCACTCATAGAGATGTTGGTGTGAACTCAAAGACCCTTTTGCAAGCTATGCTGAGTCCCTGCAAACCACACAATCTTGCATTTTTTTCCACTCCTCCTATGCTGGTTTATTAAACATAGGTGTGAGGGAGAAACACTACATCACTGCTGCTGTAACCAACAAATGACTGGGGGTTTTTTTTGAACACCAAACAATGTGAATCAGTGCTGTGAAAAACAAGGTTGTGGGAGACTGTCATGTGACAAACATCTGTTCTTAAATATGAAAGAAAATGTTTAAAATACCCATCTCTTTCTAAATAATGGATGTGGGTTTTTTTGTTTTCCTTTCCTATCTTTGTACCAAAAAGTAAGCGTAAATTTTTCAGTCCCTGATGGGCAACCCACTTCTGAGTGCTGGCTTTTAATACCTTCTATTTTTTACAAATTTCTAATTCTGTATTTAAAATTCATTTATTCAATGAAGCAATAAAAGTGTAATAAAAATCACTTGGCTCCAGTTTTGTTCATGGCTGGTAGATAGCACCATGTCTGTGAATGACAGCAGGACTTGCCTTGTGCCTGAAGAGAGATGTTACTGAGGTCTAAGTGAGCTGGGCAAGAGTTTTTGTGTCAACCTTTAGGAGAAATTCTTCTTCTGACCATCCTGTGGGATAGTTGGAAAACAATGATCCAGGAGGAGGAACAGGAGGATTATGTTGGATATAGAAAACAGAGAGAAAACTTGATGGGGCTGAAGGTGAGCACCAAAGGTGAGTGACTTCTGATGGAACAGGAGCAGTTGTTAAAGATTTGAGCTTGAGAAAGTGTGTCCATATCCCATGAGAAATCCCTTTCCCACCCCCTCAGATCTCATCCTGATATGGATGCAGGACTGGCCAAGTTGGCCAAGAATAACAGGAATCCAGTCTGAATCTTCGGTTAAATCATGACTGGTACTTCAGTGTTCAATAGTCAGTGATGAAATGTGGCATAAATCCACAGTGATTTGTTCAAAACCAGTAACAGCAGCATGTCCAGTAGTGCTGATGGAAAAGCAGGACTTGCTATCCTACCCAGAAACAAAAGGCAAGGGAGGAGGATCCAAGCAGCTTTAGAAAGCTTCCAGAGCAATTATCTGAGGAAAACACCAGTTTATCAAACTCATTTCACCCATTCATCTTCAGTAATATCAAAGTGCTAATCTCTCCCATCCCCAAGGGCTTTCATGATTGATCCTTACACAGCTCTGCCCTGCTCATGACAAAAGCTCAGTATTTATTCTGTATGCAACTTGAATGCAACTGTGTGCTGTGCTGAGATAACAGGCCAGAGCATGAAACAGTCTTGCAAATGCTGGTTAAACACAGTTGGGGGACTGCAGTACCACACATCAAAAAAAAAATCATTTGCCTCAGGAAAAAGTATTTGCAGGAATAGAGGATCTTCCCAGGAACAAGTGAAGCTTCAGCTCCTGGAGGGAAATGCCACAGGAAAACAACTTTCCTGGAGCAAAGGAAGTAAGTGACAGTGAGTACTGTTGCAAATAAAATACAACTGCATTTGATTAAATCTGTTTCTTTACCCTCGTGCACTCCCCAGTGCTGAAAACAAGACAAATGCCATCTGTGGTTTTGCAGGCTAAGGGAATGAAGCTTTAAAGTTCTCTCCAAATCCTGTTTTGTCTTGATAGCACATAAGGGCTTGTGGGGGGAAATAGAGGCTGTTGTTTGATATTTTAAGTTACTAAAAGGGGAAATGTTCAGCCGCACTGATTTACCATCTGGGAAAGGGCTGGGGCAGGATCAGCTCTGACAGTCTCCCCCAGCCAGCACTGCTCCCCACAGCCTCAGGTTTGTATGCTTTGTGTTGTTGTTTGTGGTGACAAATGACCTTTTTCAGAGCAGTTTTGTGTTGGTTGTCCCTCCCTGTTCCTTGCTGTCCTGGGGAAGGCAGGTGCCCTCACCTGCCAAGGTGCATCTCCCCAGTACCTGGACCTGGAAAGATCCACTGAGCTCAAGGGATTGAAGCTTCCCCCCCTCCCACTCTGCTCTGTTATCTAGCTCTGTCGAGGGCTGGTCTAAAGAATGGAGATGGGAATTCCTTTTCTCCTTAGACCTTGGAACATAACATCAAGTGACAACGTTTGCATCTATCCTTGGTAGGTAACATCAAGTGACAACGTTTGCATCTATCTGACCCTCTTGGCTGTCCCTACTTACCTGGCTGGTGAAGTTGATGGAGGAATACCCAGGGGATAAAGGAGGAGAAATCACTCAGAAATTGAGGTGATGGGTCTACCCCTGTGGTTTGCTTGTCATTTTGTTTGTTTGTTTTGCAGGATTTGGAAGAGATACAAAAGGACAAAAGCTCTGCTGTTCTCTACTTGCTCATCCCAAACCTGCTCTTGGCAGGCTGCAGTAAAAATCTGCTTCAGAGATTCCCCATCCTTTACAGGATGAAAAACAGAGGATTTCCTTGCCTTCAGCTTTTCCAGCCTCTGCCCTTTCTGTGCTGGCAGGGTGAGGTTTTTCCAGCCTGCCCTTTCTGTGCTGGCAGGGTGAGGTGAGCCTTCAGTACTGCCCATCCTTCATATTGGTCTGTGTGTGTGGATGGATGCTTCCAAGTGAGCATGGACTGTTGGTGACTTGTGTTGAAACTGAATCTTTTGAGCCTTGTCCAGAGTTTTTAAAGTCCTGAGGAGTATGGTTATACATATCCCAGGGTTATACATACCCCATCTGTGTTACCTCCTGTCTCAGCTCTCTGTATGTGCCCAGTGAGTGCAGGAGGAGAGAGTTGCTCTTATCTGTGCTGATGACTCTAGTTAAGCCTTCTCTGGACACAAGAGCAGTCACAAAGTGGAATAATTGCCTTTTACTTGTAACAAACTGCCAGAGCTGTCTCAGGGTTTCAAGAGAGACAATTAAAGATATTGCATTGTTTTCTTCAAAAGGAAATAGACCTGGGGCTTCCCTAATAGCCCTCCTGATTCTGCACTGCACTCTTGGAACGTGTTGTTGTGGGTTGCATTTATTATGAGCCACTTCTTCTCCCTAATTATTGAGCAGGGGGTAGGTCCCT